TTAGGTTTTCCAGTGAAATAAGGTACTTTAAAAAAGGGCTGCGGAGCATTATTCTTTGAGTTCTTTACCTGGTCAGTTATATATATGCATACTCCTTTGCCATCAAATATAATATTATCCACTTTTATAAGGTATAGTGTTTGTATTCTATGGCCTGTGGCCAAAGCCAATAGTGTAGCTAGTTTCTTTGTTAACATCAAAGTAGGTAATGTCTCGTCTGGTCCTAGTGAATCAATATAATTAATGACTATTTGGGGATTCCAGGTGGTATTATATCTTGGTTTTGTTGGTCTAAGCCGATAAACTCCTTTTAAAAATCTTCTTATTAAAATGTCTTCCAATTTCTCCAGGAAATATTAGAGAAAGCGCTGATCTGTGTTGATTAAGCTTGCCGTACGAAGTGTTCCCTTTTTCAAATTCTTTCTGCATAAACCTCAATATTTCTGATATATCTACCACGAGTGGATTTTTATTGTTTTCTAAACAGTAACTCCACCAAGATTTATATGACGTATTATATTGTTTATGAGTGGATTCTGAAATGGAGTTCAATGTAACATCCACTGTTTCTGCAGGATATCCCTTTTTTAAGAGTGCTTGCCGCACAAACTCCCTGCTACCAGGGTAAGCTTGGCATGAAGAGGATGGTTCATTCTAAAAGGAGAAGATAACAAATTAATGTCAGGCCCTAATACCACTGGTTCGCTAATTAATAATTTTTTGAATAACGGGTACCAAGGTTGCGAAGGCCAGTCAGGTACAACAACAATGCCTTCTGCTTCATCAGTGATGATTTTTTGCAACGTTCTGAGGATAAGTGTAAAAGGTGGAAAGGCATAAAAGAAATTTGATTTCCAAGAAACAGTGAAAGCATCAACTGCTATAGAATCTGGATCTTTGTACCACGAAATATAATTGTTGCATTTTGCATTTATCTTTGTTGCAAATAAGTCTATGTCTGGACACCCCAGTTTTTTGACAATATATTTAAAAGCAAAATCTGCTAGTTCCCATTCTGTTTCAGGTGACAATACTCTAGAACTTTCATCTGCTTTATTTTCGGATGACGCTATGTAAGAGGCATAGAGCCATATGTCCCTTCTCTCGCACCATTGCCATATTTGTCTAGTTAGTTCATTCAGATATCGATGTTGAATACTACCCATTTTGTTAATATATGCTAGCGCAGTCATATTATCAACCCTGATAAGAACATTACAGGACCTCACATCCTTAGCAAAGCATTTTAAGCTGTAAAAAGTTGCTAAAAGTTCAAGATAATTAATATGCAAGTTTATTTCCTTTTTAGACCACCAACCATGAGTACTATTTCCTTGACAGTGAACGCCCCAGCCTGTTTTTGAAGCATCAGAGTAGATTTCGATAGAGAAATTATCTTGTCTGATTTCGTTGTTCGATATGTTTGTTTTCTAGCCACCACCTCAGATCCATTTTAATCGAGGCTGGTAGGGTCATGATTTTATTATAATTTTGGTTTGTCTTTTTTAATGCTAAATATTTTTCCTTTTCAAAAGTTTTTGTATAAAGTTTTGCATATTTTATTGCTGGACAAGCTAATACAACGAGACCCACAAATTGTGCAAATTGTTTAATTTTTATATGATTTTTATTTTGAATAGCTTTAATACAATTAAATATCTTCTGCCTTTTTTCCGCAGTCAGCTCTATCGTCATTTGAATTGAATTAAAAATAAAGCCTAATAATTTACATGTTTGAGAAGGTAATAGAGAGCTTTTTTCCCTATTAATATTAAAACCTAACCTTTCCAATAACTGAATGGTTAAATTGGTGAAGTACAAACACTGTTCCTTTGTTTCGCCCATTATCCAGAAATCATCCAAGTAGGCAACACATATTACACCATTGGACCTAAGATAACCTAGAACAGGCTTTATATCTTTTGTAAAGACCTGTGGGGCCGTACAAAGGCCGAACGGAAGACATGTGAATTGGTACAGATGATTATCTACTTGAAACCGTAAGTACTTTTTACAATGTTTGTGAACAGGTATCAAGAAATATGCGTCTTTTAAGTCAAGACTAGTCATGTAACAACTTTTCCTAATTAATTTCATTACCATTCTCGAGTCTTCCATTTTAAAGTGTGATGTAATTATAAATCTGTTCAATCCTTTTAGGTTCAACATAAAACGATTTTTCCCGTTTGGTTTTTTAACGAGAAAACAAGGCGAAATAAATTGATTTTTAACTTTTGTGCATTTTTCTATTGCTTTCATTTCAATAAGCTCTTTTATAGCTTCCTGTAAGGCCCGAAGTTCTTTCCTCGACTTGCCTAATATACTCCTAATATGACTAATATACTCCTTTATTGTTGTTGTAACTGGTAGGCCTTCCCAATGCTCACTGAAAAAACGTAACCTTCCTCCGAAGGTACTTACCTCTATTCTCGATATCTCTTGTTGGATTGGTAACGCCTGTGAGGGAGCTCTGCCGGTTTCCTGTGCCGAGATTGCCCGTATTGTCTCTGGTCTCTCCTCCCCCGAGACGGGCCCCTGGAGTTTAAAGTCGGCACCTTCCACTCTGTTCGCCTTGGATTACTAGCAAAAGTCGACGCTTTATTGCCTTTTAAGTCTTTACTTGACTTTTCAATTTCTTTTGCAGCTTTTAGTCTCTCCCCAAAATCTGCACCGAAAAGTTGTATATCAATGGAACTGGTCTTTGCTATGTTCATAGCTAATGGATTTAGTTGCGGGGTTAGAAAACTTTTCCTTTGAACTGAAAAGGAGTGAAACAAGTCAGTTAGTAACTTACCGGATTCACTAAGAATCGGAACAAGGGATTTTGCCAAATCACTTTCATCTACCAATACCATAGTTATGGCCTTACCCAGTGCCGTTATTCCTGCACCCAACTGAGATTGCATAATCACCTGATATTTATCTTTCTTTAAGGATATATCGGAAACGGCTTGGGCTATTTCTGGATTTAATGTAGGCGTTTGCAACCCGCCACAGTTGCTTGGGACTGGATATTTCGCCAGCAGTTCTAATTTATTATCTTTTGATATACCTTTTGTCAGCATATGCTGCCATCTAGGAGACAATGCCTTGTGCAGCTCCACTTTTTCGGTCTTGGCATTCTCAGGGTCTTCTCCCAAGCATTTCAACACTTCTTCATCCAAACCCGGTTCATGTACCACCAATATACTATTATTAATATTTGGTGAGGGGGCATTTTCCTGCTCAATACTTCTGGCAGATATTACAGAAGGGGTAAAACCTTCCGAGCCATCTTGTAATGTTAAAGAAGGGGTAAAACCTTCTTGGCCAAAGGATGTCGAGTCTCTGGGACTTCGAACCGGTGTCGAGTTTCTTGGCATTTGCCTTGAGTTTCGATCACCCCTTGAATTTAAGCTTCCTCTGTCGTAATGTTTTGACCTTTTTGACGTTGGGGATTTGGATGATCTGGATTCACTATGGCGTCTAAAGCGTCGTTCCAACGCTTTTAGCCTTTTTTCCAATTGAAGGGTTTTTCCACGANTAAGATTAATGGCCGGTCCTCATGTACAATTATTTACTGCGGAACTGCGGAGATGCGTAACTGCGAATCTCCGCAATTTTCAAACTACCGTCCAAATGCAAATGTCAAAAATAGTAGATGCGGATAACCTAGAAATTTGTACCGGTTTCTTTTCGAGTATTTTCATTGAGGTATTTCAAATAATTATCTATTAATCTTTATGTGAAATATATTTACAATGGAAAACTTTGATGAAGATACAGCTTTCTTGGCTCTTGCTGTTTCAATGAAACAATACAGAGACTGTGCTTTGAGGTATAAAAAATGTTACCGTGAAAGATTGATAAAAATGTATAAGATATACAATTCTATTCTGGAGTTTCAAAAAAAACATAAAAAAATGTGGGTGAGAGATATTTTCTTGGCTGATAATTAATTATAGAGACGAAATAGATAAAAAACAAACTAATCAAACACGTTTTCAGAATATAAACAAATACAAATGGCCGATAAATGTCACACGAGCACAAAAGTAAACACCGGAATACGGAAAAAGTTGAACCTAGTCAACTTTTATCCGGAACGCATGCGGATCTGTCACTTTTTCAAAATGGCTGCTGTGCGTCCAATATTTTTTCGATATTGTGATCACGTGATTCCGCATCTCCGCAGTTCCGCACTAAATTATTGTACATGAGGACCGGCCATTAGTAATACAGAACGGAACGGCAATAGTAGCGTTCCTTTCTATAAAATGTGTGTCAACTAGCACCTAAAGCGGTACTACATAGTTCAATCAAAGTGATCTTGAGGGCGAGGCGCCGTCATATAATTCTATTTGGTGACCAAACTGAACTAACCAAGAAACGCGCCCGCCATTATTCCATGGCTAGAAATTGGCCTCAATGATTTGGGATCGAGGGGGATAATCCCTCTTTATCCTGCCTCATCTCGTGTAGGCCTGGACAGCCTTCCTAGGTGGGCCCCATCCGTCGTCTACCCCGACCGCAAATGCGGCCGGTGTAGGCGCTTTGTGGGACCTCCTTTTGTCCTGGCTGGGCCCCGCCGGCTAGGCCCCTTTCTTCTGGCGCTCTTCTTGCTTCGCCGGCTCGTCTGTGTAAACCCCGGGAGTTGTGTCATATTTATGTGTGGAATGGTTGGGTAGGGCAGTGCGGCTATGCAGCCTGGGATGCGCTTTGCTAAGGTGGCCCTTAGCTAGCGCGGGAGGGCAGGGGTAAGGAGGGTGTGTATGTGTGTGTGTGTGTGTGTCGTTGTCTTCGTTTCTTGATCCTGGCTGTCTCTGAAACAGAAAAGGTTAGCGGGCAGGGGGGGGGGGGGGGTCGTTGGGGTGGTCACCCAGGGTCAAAAAGTTGGTGTCTAGGTCTTTTGTGTTTGTCGGTCACGTCGGGTACGTAGTCAACGGCTTGCCTGAAGAGGGGATTGTCATGTCTAGCGGCTACGTCAAACCGTTTCTCCGCGTTTTGTCATATTGTCTGTGTAGCGTTTGTGTATTGTAAGTCTCGTAATATGTCAGTGTTTCTTACGTACCAGGGCGCGTCGTTGGCCGTGCGGAGGGAGCCAAGAAACGAAGTGGTAAAATAAATACAGCCATTGAAATGTATTTTGACCATAGAAAAACCACAGCTCATTAAGCTGTGGAGAAACTATTTTTCTTATGACTTTGACATTTGTCATTTGACAAAATGTTTGTATTGTTTACATATTGCAATTGTATTTTATTTTCAAATAATTTAATCATACATTTTTATTCTCTTATTACATAAGTTTAATATTTATAATTTAACAATGAATGTCTTGGAATTATATAGTGGTATTGGTGGCATGCACTTATCGCTGAATGGTAACAAACAACATGAAAGTATGTATAACAAATTGTTTCATATATGTAATTTCGTTACAGATAGTGGTATTAAAGGGAAGATTATAGCTTCTATAGAAATTAATAACATTGCCAATGATGTCTACAAGCATAATTTTCCAGACACAAAATTGCTGAATTTGAATATAGAAGGTATATCTTCTGACCGAATTAATAACATGGATGTCGATACGATTCTAATGTCTCCTCCTTGTCAACCATTTACTCGAAACGGTTTGCAGAATGATATGAAAGATCCAAGAACAGCTTCATTTCTACATATATTAAAAATATTACCGAATTTAAAAAACATCACAAAAATTTTAATAGAAAATGTTAAGGGTTTTGAAAAATCAGATACAAGAAATATATTGATAGAAACGTTGAAGAGATCCAAATTTTCATATCAGGAATTTATTTTAAGCCCACACCAAGTTGGAATTCCAAATTCACGTCATAGGTATTATTGTGTAGCAAAGAAACATCAAGAATTGTTGTCTTTCCAGGTTGATGAAATTGTAAGTATAATTACAAGCTTATACTAATATTCATAAAAAGACAATCTTAGTCTTACTCCAATTTTGAATAATGAACGTATAACAAAATTTTCAGATGTATCATTTACCACATGAGAAAACCGAAAAAGAGTGTTTTACGATAACCACAATTTTAGAAAACAATCCTAATGAAGATTATCTTCTTTCAGAAACTTTGCTTCTGAAACGTTTAGGTGTATTAGATATATGTTATTCAGATTCTAGAAGATCTTGCTGCTTTACGAAGGCATATGGACGATATTTAGAAGGAACTGGCAGTATTTACAGTAATAAAACTGAAATTGATGTAAAAGATGTTATGGAAAAGATAAAATCGTTACCAATCGATGACTGTGATAGATTAAAGTTGTTGCAGTCGTTAAATTTACGATTTTTTACTCCTAGAGAAGTTTGTAGGCTTATGTGTTTCCCTGACACTTTCACATTTCCTACTAACATTACTGATAGAAAAAAGTATATGTTATTAGGTAATAGCATAAATGTGAGAGTTGTGTCTGAACTAATAAAAGTTTTAAATAATTGAATTTATTTTTCTGTGAAAAAATAAAAAATCAAATTTTTAATCTGAAACAGATATATATTATTAATACAAATCTGTATGGTCATAGACAGTGACTCGATAACAATTTCATTGCACACCTTACCAATCCTATACTTTCTATTTAAATATTAACTTTATATCTAATTTGTTCTGTTATTTGTGAATGCTTAGTTTTGTTACTAATTACTTTTATTTATATTTTCATCTAAAGCAGTTTCTCTTAAGAAATTTGAAAATCACTACACTTGTAGACCTAGAGAAGGGAGAATGTACTCCCTTTTTAATATATTTTCCGATTTATACTCGTCCTGATATATTTTAATTCGTTGCTTTTATTTTTTGACCGCTTGTTTATTGATAATAATAAAATAATGTAAACTGCTTGCAGGAATTAATAAAAATAGTTTGTGGTAGCTTCAACTACATAAACCCGAGCGTCGCGTAGGTCAAATACCTCTGAATAATATCTCTGGCTCTTGAATAACTAGTTTATGTGTCGGGCATGGGCAAGTAGAAAAAAAATAGAACACAGATGATCTCGCTCTTATGCATTGGAATTAGCGCGTAAAAATACATTAGGATTAGGAGTGCTCTGAAGTGCTCCATCCGGTAGACCCTAAAGGCGCATTTTTATGTAGACGCAGAGACGCTGAAAAGAGTTACCTCTCTATACATTCTCTCGGATCTGTGGTCAGTTCCTAGCGGGCAGCCGACCAGAGCACACGTGTTTTGTGAAAGTGTAGTGCAAGGAGCAAATTCTACCTGCCTTTATTAAGGCTACCTGGAAAGAATCCCTTTCTTTCCTTTTAATCACCGACCTAATCCCCGGCTTAAGCATAGACGCCGTCGGCATCTTTGTTACAGCACCTGTGCCGGGGTTATGCCCAGGTAAGTTTTTACTTATTTATCAGTTATTTGCATTACTTTAGAATACATTTCTTTAAAATTGCGACCCCCGACAAACAATATACCAGACAGACAAATACACCAAAAGACACGTACGCCCCCGTGAGGGGGCATCCCCACACGACTAACACTTACACACCTTCCC